GGACTGATGTGTCAACGATAGTATGTAACAACAAGTACTCTTCCTGATCCGCTTGACCCCTGAGCTTGTGGTCTAGTTAAGGTCTTCAGCTGGTCGGGAGACATCGGTGCAATAATGCTTTGATCCGGCTCTTGTGGGCTCCGCCGGTTCTTTATCAGTGCAGGCTGAGAAAGACAAGCATTTCATTGTACATCGCCAGAAGTACGCTATGTTTGAAGTCACTTGGCATTTTCGAAGTCGCAGTCGAGACTCCTCCATTCACCAAATCGTCCCCTTTTCCGTCTGTTTGAGTCCCATTGTCCATCCTGGTGGCAGATCCGGGGCTCCATATCCACCAGTTATCCGAGCTGACCACTTTTCAACCTACCTTACCTAGCTTCCACTTTCCATGGTTACACAAAGAAGATTGCACAGTCACACAGTTTTCCTCTGTGCTCGCCGTTCCTGCGTTGTGATACTGCGTGTGATGGTATGCAGGACTGCTTACAACGCTTCTTAGCGACCATGTTAATTTCGTCTGGAATCCCAGCTTCCCCCGAAAGGACACGCATCTACCACACCGAAAACGCTATCTCCCGCAGCAAGTATATGTAATGATATGCTGTGGTCGCTTTCGCGGATGTGTAAGGCTCGCGTTTCTTTCCCTTCTTTGCGAAGCAGCAGATGGCTTTCATCTTTACTCAACCCTCGCCGTCTCTGATTTAATGATCAGTGGCCAATCCTGCGATAACGCTCGGTTAAGCGGCTGGTTGCTTACCCCTGGAACCGGCCTCACGCTAAGTCTGCGCTAATCTCTCTGGGGACAAGCTCCCGCTCCCGCGTTGGGTAAGGATCAGCCACATCTCATCAAACCAATGTTCGAAACTCTGTGGCTCATAGAATTCCACCATAGCTCGAATAATCACACAAGTGCTCATCGGATAACACAACGCCTTGGCAATCGTTTAACGGGAAAAAGATACAGAACAATTATGGAAAACCGGAGAAAGCGGAAGTCGGAGACTATTGTTGCGTCGGAACACCAAAAGCGAGCCAAACCACTTGGGAGAATACCCGTGAGGCGCGACCTCCTAGAACGTCATTACAACAGGGTCACCTCGTTAAGAGAATATGTCCTCTCCCAGTTACCTCATGGATCTCGTCTCCGACGAAAGAAAGTGGCGTCCATCGGCGAAGCAAACGATGCCAGGGAGATTGAGAAGACTTTATCACGACTCCTAGATACATCACTTGTTTGTTTTGCCCATCAAGAGGCCGACAATGATGATACAAGATGGGAGCAATGGCTAGCATTCTCACAAAGAGAGGACGAATCTTATGTCAGTCTTTCCGATGGGATTTCTGGATCAATATTCTCCCAAAATGAGGTCAGCAGAGCATCTTTATTTGTATGGAAAGGCGCTTACAGCCATATAGATCGTAGATTTTGTTGTATGGCGTCTCTTCTCTAGAGATGTGCAAGCCGGACGACGACCCAGGCACCTGTTGTGTGACGGGTTCAGGAGATCAGCCGGACCAGATGACCAAGGAACCACCACTATTCCTGGACTCTTTGGCCTCTTTCCGAACTCTAACGTCGAGGCGCTGAGGGAAAATCCTTGGCCGCAATTATTGGCCCTTCTTGGCAGAGCTGGAGAGAAAATCATGATTAATCTCCTCGTTGACGCCTCTATATATTTAGAGGTTGAAGCAGGTTTCAACAATTATTATCAACTTACAGGTAAGACAGCAAAACACTAAAGTACACATCTGACCATTGTAGGTGTCCCACTTGCAGAGCTTGACCTTCACGGTGGCAGTCTGTCAATGGCTAAAGGGTCTAAAGGCGAAGCACGCAAGCCTATAGACATAACTCTAGTGAGAAGCAGAATATTCTATGCGAAGCCGTCCCTCACGGCACAGGGACACGTTCAGCCTGGCTATAAACACATTCGTAAGTGTAGAAAGCACATCCAATCAGAAACATTGTTAATAGTTTTCAGACGTGCTGAACCGGTACAAGAACGCTCCCATGTCCAACGACCCAGAGATTCAGCGCCAAGGTACAGTCAAGGTGATGATGTACATATTTCCTCGGCAGTTCGGACTTCACAACGTCTTTACTTCTCAGGTCGACCCCACGATAACCTCGCAAAAGTTCCAAGACTATACGTTGAGAGAAGAAGAGATTGCTCCCTGTTTTCGAATAAAAACAGGAGATACCGGGTCGCAAACGCCAAAAATACCCAGGCGGCTTCGTGGATATACTGAAGAACTTGTGAAACGCTTGCAAGTTCTCCACGGACGGTGTTCATATATCGAGCTCTTGAAGCACTACTGCCCATGCACTTTTGACAGGCCATCGCGAACTCGGAAGCCGAGGGCCAAGAAGAGTCTCATATCGTCTCGAAAGTTTATTTCATCACAACGCCTGATGACGAATTCATACTATAAGTGTGCTCCATCCCAGAACCAATCCAAGGCAGGGCTCTTGAACACGCAAGCGCCAGCACTTCCATATCACAAATCCCTGGTAGAGCTAGCCACCCCATCATCTCAGGTCTCATCGTTCTGTCAAGCCGTGTTGTCCAAGATTATCCCCAGAGACTTCTGGGGCGACGATGCCGTACAGAAATGCAACAAACTCACTATCATGCGAAGCGTCGATAGTTTCATCAGGCTCAGGCGCTTTGAAACCATGTCTCTTCATGAAATAACACAAAATATAAAGGTTAGTGTCCGATAGTGCCAAGGCTTGACCACGGCTAATCATTTATCAGATGGCAAATATCTCTTGGCTTCACTCATCAGTTCTGGGCGACCAAAGACCAAGCAAAACTGATACTGCAAAGCGCCTGGAGATTTTTAATGAATTCGTCTATTTCGTTTTTGATTCTCTCTTGATCCCTCTGATCCGAAACACATTTTATGTTACTGAGTCTAACACTCATCGATACCAAGTTTTCTACTTTCGCCATGAAGTGTGGAGACAAATAGCAGAGCCAGCCATGATGGAACTTAGAGCAGACATGTTTGAAGAGGTCAGGTTGGATGATGCGCTGCAGGTATTACGTTCTCGAAAGCTGGGCTTCAGCCAAGTTCGACTACTTCCAAAAGGCAACAAACTTCGCCCCATCATGAATCTTCGGCGCAGGGCTATGACCAGGGGACCGTCAAGCAAGCTTGGACGTAGTATAAACACTATCTTGGGTCCCGTGCATTCGTTGCTGAAGCTAGAGAAGGTATGTGAGGCAACAAATATTCGGGGGTTGAAGCTGACTCAAAACCCAGAGGATCAACCCATCTAAGTTGGGTTCAACTATGTTCTCCGTCAGCGATATTTATACCCGACTCAAGCTATTCAAGCAATCTCTAGGCCCTGAATATGGTAAATTGTACTTTGTCAAGGCTGATGTCAAGGCTGCTTTCGATACCATCCCACAAAAGGCAGTTGTCAATCTGATGAAGTCCGTGCCAAGTCAGTCGAAATATACCATCATGAAACACGCAGAAGTGAAGCCCGGGGAACGAGCAGCGATAGCTGACGACAAGTCCTCGTCCAAAGCTATCCGTCGATGGCATGCAACAGCCTTGAGCGAGAAGGAAAACCCAGATTTCACCATACGGCTTGAGCAAAACCTGGCTCACAATAAGAAAAACACTGTCTTTGTGGGCAGCGCTTTACGCAATACTCAAAACATTGGAGAACTGATGCATCTTCTCAGGCAACATGTCGAGCATAATCTTGTCAAGATTGGAAAGAAATACTACAGACAGAAAATCGGAATCCCTCAAGGCTCTGTGTTATCTTCATTCTTATGCAATTATTTCTATGCTGACCTTGAAGTTCAACATTTGGACTTCCTTCGTTCGCCAGACTGCCTCCTCTTACGCCTCATTGACGATTTTCTTCTAATCACTCAAGACCAGGAAAAGGCGATCAAGTTTGTCAATGCTATGCATGTGGGGTTTCCTGAGTATGGCGTTGCGGTCAACCCGACCAAAACCATGGTCAACTTTGACATGCTATATGATGGTGAGCCCGTGCAGAAGTCCAATCATGAGAAAGGCTTCCCCTACTGCGGAACCACTATAAATTGCAAGACACTGGATATCACCAAGGATAGAGACAGAGATGCAAACATTGGTACGTTCAAGAGTCATGCTTCTAGTACAATCCAAAACCAGTACTTACACCTAGAAAGACGTGTCTGCTTCTCTGACGGTCGACTTCGGCCGCACACCTGGTCAGAATTTCCAGCGAAAAGTTCTAAGTTAGCTCCCCTACCCCATGGACCCAAAGAGTTGCTAACCAAGCCTCCTACGGCCATAAAGACGCTTTCAAGATTCAATCTCATCTGATGTTTTATGACACGTCTCATAATGCAAATCGAACCGTTCTCAACTCGCTTCGAAGTACTTTTGTTGAGACTGCGAGTAAGATGTATGCTTACCTGCGTTGCCTCGGAAAGAAACAGCAACCGAGCAGCGAAATGATCCTCCGTAAGTTACTCAAACTCATGGTGCGGCTGATTTAATGTCTGATCTTCTCAAGGAACAATCGCTAAAGTGATCGACGTTGCCTTCCTGCTCTTGACTAGCAGATCTCGGGTGATGAGATATCCCCAGTACATCTGCGACGTGCGAAAATCGCAAGTTGCTTTGTAAGTTGGTCATCGCCGTGCCGTTCCTTGACAGTATCCTAATAGTGATAGAAATGCGTGCCTTGCTTTTGAGAAGGTATTGGCAGCAAAACAGACCAACTATCAGCCTGTAGTGAAGTGGCTTCGTACTGAAGCTGATAGGCTTGCCTCCGGCCAGAAATACGAGCTCCTGCGAGTTTCATGAGCTAGGCGAACAGTAAATTCAGTTGAAATGGCTAAATGATCTATCTCTAATGACTTTGTCTTTTCATTCAAGAAGGATAGTCTAGAATATATGGTAATCGACTTAGCCCTTGAATTCCCAATATATGGCGGCTGTTTGACAACATATTTTTTCTACATCTAGATGCTCTAGCCTCAAAGCTGTATACCACTCTTCCACCAGTACTTATCCGAATGCCAGATTGGGAACATATATCTCCTCCATCGCCACCAGTGATCGTCTTGGTGACCGAAACCAAGCCAGCGCAGGGGGGAAATCGGCACAGGTTCCAGAAGCCAAATACCCGAAGATGAGATATCGTCGGTAAAGAAAAACGCGGTCAGACAGAGCCAGCCCAGAGTGCATATCATATTGAATGCCTGGCGGAGTCTTCGAGGGAAGTTGGGAAAATGCTTGTCCAAAGTCTGCAGCAAAATAAGTTGCAAGATAATGCCAGGAGGTTGCAGGGCAAAGAAGAGCGGACTTCTCCAGGGTTTTGTGGTTGGTATAGACGATAAACTTCCACCGGCGTGAAGTAAACCGGACTGTATGAAGGACAAACACATGGTAACAATCTGAGCACGTAGTGTTCCCCTTTGAAGATAGCCATTTTCAACGAGGAACTTTGCGGGTGCAAGAAACTGAAGACGAAAGGTTTGATGCCAGAATGCCCCCCACCAACCAGCAAGACCTCTATCAAGCACCTGCGAGATAGGACCGAAGATGTTAGTGTACTGCCATAACTCTCTTCGCATGGGATAAAAGTAGGAGAAAACGTAGAACTGAACAAGGTCATGCAAGCTAAAAATGGCATCGATGGCAGCATAGATACCAACAAGACAAAGGAGCTCGCGATAGATGAAGCGCAACCAAGGAGAAAGCTGCTGGAGGAACAAGGGGAGCTCAAGTTCTTGATCGGGCCCATAGGCACAGTAGGGATCCTTGACCATCGCAACAGAGCAAAAGTCCAAAAGAAAAGTGAGGAAGAGGACTCTGCGAATACGGCTCCATACGAATTCCCTCTCGGTCAAGTTACGATAGTAGCCACTTTTAGACACAATGAGCATGTTGTCGAAGGATACAGGATTCCCATCACGAATATTGCTTGGGATATCTGGTCTTGGTACGGAAGAGATAGAACAATTCCAGCCTAGAGAAAAAGCTTAGCCGGGAACCTCCTTTTAAGCGTTAGATGATCGTTCCAAACCTACCGATTTCCCTAAAGTTTGTAGCAAGGTCAAGTGTCCAGTTAAGCCGTTCACCGAACGATCCGTTTTCAGGAAATTTCTGCCAGACGTAAACGACATCTTTGGAGCTCCCATTCTTGGCATGGGTTTTCCCTGAAAGTGTAATGTCTTCGTGGTAAGGCTTTCGCTGTCGAATTGTGCTTTCTTGGTTTGATCCGTTGGCAACATTGATGGGCAGCTGTTTTGACGATGCTTGCGACTTGTTGCCCCTGGGAATCTTGACAACTCTGGCATAGTCGAGTTGCGGATCGGTCCAAACCAAGAGATTCAGAGTCGTCAAGATACCCCATCCGCCCATAAGACCTGACGCATATGCTGGAGCGACGTTATAGCTAGACATATACCCAATCATATAAGCATCGAACGCAACGACAAAGGCGACGACAAGCCATCGTGCGTGGTAAAGCCATGGCCGATTTCGATGCGGAAATGCCAAATAAACAATAGGTAAAATGAAAGGACCAAAAAGACAGAAAGGAAGAACAAGGGGCTCTCTGATCCCTTTGGCGACTTCAGTATCGAATAGCGCCTTGTACTCGGCGCGGGCGACATTGCCAAGATTGACCATAGGAGTGACTGTCATTGCGCCGACAACTTCGGAGGGTTCTCCAGGGGCAAATTTGATTGCTCTCAGCTGCAGGACTTTTCGGCAAGCTTGCTTCTCGTAGGGTTGTATTGGCGTCTACGACTCTATCATGACGCAAGCTAGTTGACAATTTCTACGAGGCGAGAACAAAGCAGCAACGGGTAAGCAATGCAGTGAAGAATTCGTACTGAACAAGTCTCTGGATTAGAAGAAAGAATCGAAGCCTGGCTTATGATTGTACCTCAAGGAGTTATCGCTTCTTCATGGTACAGAAACAGGTAACACCAATCAAAGGGTCATGGATTGTACCCAAATAGTATTTTGGCGGTGATGAGACTGTGGGGACGTCTTTTTTCTGGACCAAGTAAGACCTATCTCCATAGACCCGTGAACGGAGCCTCAAAAACTAGATCATAGTGTAATAATCGAGGGGCGCATAAGGATACAGAAGCCTGATTTGTGTAGCCGCGTCTCTTTCAGCGGGCGAAAGTTGCTTTTTGCTGAGTTGACGTGTCCTTACTGACGTTAGACAGAGGCTCATGTGCTACAGTCGTCGGGAATCCAATGCGGAAAACACAAGACACTGACAATCACCTACTTAGCCAGTAGCTTCTATAGTACTAAAGGAGTAGGTATTGTTGGTGACAGGACTGAGCCGCTAATTGCCGATTGAGGGTATGTTAACATGCACTTACTAGTGGTGGTTATTAAGTCATCTGGTCACTAATGAAGCCAGTGCTTCTTAGCAAGTTTAGCGATTCAGACTCCGCGATACCTATGCGGGAGAGTGGTGTTTTTGGACATCGGTCACTGGACAGAAAAGACTGTCGCAGTGGTTTTCTATCAGTAATATTATATCGGCCTAGTGTGGCAGAATAGGTATCAAAGCTAATAAAATAACTTATATAGTCTCTCTTCCCTACAATATAAAGAGGGGAAAACCCTCCAGCTATGGTAGCCTACTTACGGATAAAACCACATGCATTGTCGATCTCTGGAGTGGGATCAAATTGGCGGATTGGGTTAGTTAGTAGTTTGTAGCTATCAATATTAGTCAGATTCGTGGTTAGGTAGGTAGGTAGTCAGCCAAGACTCATGCTGACTGTGACTTCTGGATATTGTTCCATATCACAATCTGTTGCTATATCGTATATTGTTGTTTATGTTGCATGCAGTGAGACTCCGCTTAGATACAATATCGGAAATTCTCCCTGGAAAGAAGAATGGCTCCAACTGCAGCAGGCGATGGAGTTACAAAGCATAGGGCGTGCGACGAATGCCGTGAGTGTCTCATCATGTGTCCGAATCGGAGACTTATCGGTCATTAGGATCCCGGAAACTCGCATGCTCCAAAGAACCCGATGGCTGTTCTCGGTGTAAAAAGGAGGGAATAATATGCTACTATTCTCCGCAGAAGCAAATGGGCCGACCCCGAAAGAGGCGGCATGTGGATGTGGATGATGAGGCTACTCTACCAGCACCGACCATTTCCCAGCCGTCAGAGGAAGCCCTTCTTTTTCTCCAGCCAGATGATAATATCTCCTATGAGCACCTGAATCAGACTCAAACAACCGGAGATTTGCTTCTAGATCTCAACTTCCTGGACGATCCAGCTAATGCGAACGCCGATACATGGGGCTTGCAATCTAGCCATGACACGTTTTCTTTCAACCCGCAGATGGTGGGATCCCAAGGCTTGCTTGTTGACAATGCGACATTGCCTACATTGGATCTGAGTGGTGTCGACCTCCTTGGTAGTATCAATTTTGGCGAGACAGACGCTCCGCAAGAAACAATTTCGATGGATCTCAGTCACACACTGCAGCAGTACCTAGCAGATCAGATTGAATCCCCAAACCCAGGATTACACCAGAACTCAGACACACCAACACCACCTGACTCTAGCGAAAATGGTGCCTCTGTTGAATCCACTGAGAGTGTGATTAGAGCGCCGACTTCATCTATGCGATCTGTACCTACAGTGTCTTGTGGCTGTTTGTCATCACTTTATTTAGCTCTCGAGTCTCTTGGAAATCTGCCGGCTGAGGTCATACCGGCCATGAAAGTCGCACGGAATGCGTCCAAGGTCGCTCACGACGTTATCAGATGTACTGTCTGTTCTGCATCTTTGCTTGACGAACCCACTAAGCCCCCTCCCATACAATCCTTCCAGAACCTCATGCTTCTTGGCGCTCTGGTTCCATCTGCATGCAACGCCTACGCAAGGATTCTAGAAATGGTAGACGAAGAGACTGCACTCGCCAAGCTGCAAGGACGCACCTTTTGGTTCTCATTCAAAGAAATCGGTGGCCTCTGGGGTTGCATTGGGGGTACACCCGGGGGCTGCACGACTTATCAAAGCTACAACAACAAGAACATGCCTCCCGACATGTGGAGAATGACAATCAGGGGACTTCTTCGTCTCGACGTCTACGGGTTGGATGAGAAGGATCAGGAGATCCCAGGCGCGATGACCTATCGGCAACTTGGGCTCAAAGATGTCGTTGGGCAACTTGAGGAGAGAAGCAAAAAGAGACATGATGCTCTTGACGCACTTCATGCCGCTGGGCACGCACATGAATCGGCTCGTGGAGTTATTTACCCGACTAAGGCTTGTTCTCCAGCAGAGCGCAATTGTACTAAAGTCCTCGAGACAGCGCGTATTGCGCTGGAAAATCTAGTTATCGCATAAGTAGAACACACGTAGAAAGGCCCAGAAGCTTGATTAGGGGCTGAACTGGCCAAAAATGAAAAGCCAAAAGGGCTCGGATCGGTGCTTGTGAAAGACCTGGAAGGTGAAATTCTTGTAAGTTCAAGTGAGGGGCTAGTGATTCGGAAGTTTATATTTGAGTTGTCAGTTCGATCTAATGCAGCATTTTCCCTGCTTGCCGAAACTTCCTCTTTTAATCCGCGAAGTACTTCAGCATGCGTTGGCAGTACGATCATGCCCTGTTAAGATCAAAGACCGTTTATTATCGTGACATGCCTCGGGAGTGACATAAACGATGAACCGGGAACTGTCGAGCATAGGGTAGATTCTGGTAGTCATGACTGATATCGTCACTATGCACAACAGACTTGGCCAATTGAATATTTCATATTGAACCATTTGCGATTCTCTCACGAGATACTGTCCAACCTATTCTCTATGTCCAAGTTCTGTCCAAGTTAAATAAGAAGGCTGAAGGCCTTGTCAACGCTCAAGCTGCCATCCAAATGCCTAACAACCAACGCCTTACATGCATGTTAAAAACACCGGGTAGAAAAAGATGCAAGACCCCGCCTAGAAAGGGTTTCCAATTTCTTGATGCGGAGATATGAAGTTTGTGATAAAAAGATGTTAGACTTGTTCTTGGGCCTCAACCATGCCCAGAATATCGAGCTCGGCACGAACAAGGCTCTCAAACTCCTGACGATCAATGCCTGAAGCACGCGAAAGCATGAACAGGCTTCGGATACTGCGCGATACATGCTGCTTTACACCGAACTCGTTTTGTGTTTGTTTGCCGGCAGACGCCTCAAGCTTAGCAACTGTTTCTGAGCCGTTGGAACTGGCGCTTGAGGCTGGGCGTGGATGAAGGAGAGCGGCGTGGCGCTCGGTATCATATTCGTTTTGTGTCGGGCTTGAATCACTCTTCTCAATCTCGGCCAATGTCCTTGCGCCCTGTGTCTCATTAAACTCTGTGGCTTCGGCCGATTCTTGGGTACGTCCGAGTCCAAGTGGTGGAGCAATTTGCGCAACAGCCTCTTCCTCATCCGGGTCGTGATTATCCATAGCAGGCTGAACACTGTCATATTGAGCAAAATATGCGTCCTCTGCCGAAGATGCACGAACACCACCAATTTGAGACGTAGATTTTGAAGGAGGTGCAGGCGACTGTTTTTGCGCTGGTGTCCGGGATGGAGTTGCATCATACCGTGCCCAGTAATCATCGTCGTCCTCTTCCTCTTCTTCGCGGCCACTATGAGGAATATGCAAGCTATTACCATGGCCGTGGCCGTTGGCGTCCTTGGCTTGGCTAGTCACCTTCTTCGCCTGTGTTTCTCTGAACTGTCTCTCGGCCTCTGCGATGCTGGATGCTCCCCCGAATTGCAAGTAAGGTGAGGGTTTGTCTGCTACAGTGACTTCGCCAACCCTCCAGCCATCGCCTCCGCCCTCAACGTCCCCAACACAGTAGATCAACTGGAAGGCCAAACCCAGGTTGGAGAGCGCAACGAGAGCCTGCAGAGTCTCTTCATCGACCCGACGAAAACGTATCTCTGCATCATAATCCCAGTCCACCTCGACCTCACCCGACACCGGATGCGGCTCAAGACCACCGCCTTGAGCGATCTGAATCAGCTCAGATATTTTTGCCTTGTCGTAACACAGAAGTCGAATCCATGGCTCGGTGCTTGATGTAGATAGAAGCTTGACTCGCTGGCGAAGTATGGGGGATAAAAGCGGTAGAATGCCGATCGCAGGTTCTGTAGAAATAGCAGATGGTGGGAGAGCAGGCAGAAACGGCGCAAGAAGCTGTGTTGTATCTGGCGAAGGAAGCTGCGTGGTGGTCATTGTCAATGCCAGATTGAGCGCCGCAAGGCCGGACGAGGTATCGTTATTGTGGTCGCGTTCTACAGAGTACACGATGATAGATGTATACGAAAACGACCGAGTTGAGGGTATCGTGGGAGGATTGTGTAAAGGATGTAATTTTATGCGTGACTGGAGTAGTCTTGCTGGTCGAATCGAGGGCCAGAGGTGGATTGTCGAGAGGGAAAGATGGAGAACAGGATTGAGCGCTATGAGACGAAGTATTTCAAGAGAACCTGTCTGAAAATCTGATAGCATGGGAAGAAGTGAGATTAAAGTGGGAGGGTTGGTAAATATAAGAGGAGAAGCATGTGCATCCGGCAAGAGTTGTCGGCGGTGCGGCACGAGGTATCAAAGAGGCAAGTGACGTGCCGTACCCATGCGTGCTTCTGTCCGAGAGAGGTCTCGGATATCTCCAAGCTTT